TTACCGACTCCGACAAAGGGGGACAAGTTCTCATTTGTTTAATTCTCGTTATTTTAAGGCAAATGTCTTCCGTTTCATTCGTACCTTTCTATTGTAACATGAAATCATAATCAACACCGGCGGCGCTAGATTAGTATAATTTTAAGACCATCATAATCCATGGCAAAAAAAAAACGAAAGCGTTACCAAGTATGAATTGTTCATTTCAATTAGAAAGAAGGACAAACGCTACGTAGGTTTGGTTACAATGTACATTTAGATACTTTTTCGCTACAGAAAATGATGTCGATTTCTCGGAGATTAAGAAACAGATTCTAACTAAAAAAAACGGTCAAGTTAAAACTTTTGATTACCTGACATAAACAGAGACTGGCTGAAGGATCCCGCGCCAAAGTCTTCGAAGCATTCTCGCTCAGAGAAGAAACAGGGAGCTGTTGGTAAAAGGCAAAAAAGTTAGTTTGTCTAATAAATACCATTGAGGTATTTGCTCCAAACCTATTCAAAGTTTATCCTAAAAAGAAACGGAGCAGCAACTCAAGTTTACTTCTACGACAATCGTGGGATGTAAGAGTTTGGCCGCGAAGGTTAGTTAACACGTTTTGCCTTTACTTTACGACACTTTTGCAGTAAGTGTTATAGAGACAGACTCTGATGCATAAACCTCTGAGAGAAATGACTTATTAAGAGAACAAACCTGTTATCGTATTGACTGATGTAGCACAAATTAATCCACAAGAGCTAAAACCACAGCATTTAGGTCGCCTTTCCAGTCGCTACTTTCAATTCTAATACTAGGTGTGTGCCTTGGTTTTATACCTTCTGGTATAGACGCTAATTTCATTCAGCTCACTCGAGAAATATTTTCACAGAGCTGGAAAAAAAAAACAAAAGGAAGTGTTACTTCATGGTTGTTCCAAGAAATATGTAAAACCCCACCTTGCAATCTGTAGTCGGGTTGTCACAATTTGCTGCACCGTTTTGTACAATGTAATTAAACCTCTACCATTGGGATTTGCTAGGTCATTGCATGATGTGCACGCGGAATTTTGCAAGCGCATAAGCTCGCATAACCATGCTTAGTTTTCATGATATCACCAAGAGAACAGTGTTCTCATTTGCTGTCCAGATTGCGGTGGCGACCGGGGCTAGTTTTGTGACGTATGCTTCGTTCATCAATCATGCACCCTTACTGATGATACTACTCTTGTAGAAATTTTCTTTTCTTTTTTCCTGTATGACATAGCGAGGGCAAAACAAGAGGCATTTTAGCGGGATTGAATGAAAACGCCTTTAGTCATTGATGAATCGCCGTATAATCTTCACACTTGGGGAAAATGCCAACATGAGGTGAGAAAAGATTATCATCATTTGTTTCCTCTATAGCTTGCTATTGGTGTAATCCNGTGTTCTCATTTGCTGTCCAGATTGCGGTGGCGACCGGGGCTAGTTTTGTGACGTATGCTTCGTTCATCAATCATGCACCCTTACTGATGATACTACTCTTGTAGAAATTTTCTTTTCTTTTTTCCTGTATGACATAGCGAGGGCAAAACAAGAGGCATTTTAGCGGGATTGAATGAAAACGCCTTTAGTCATTGATGAATCGCCGTATAATCTTCACACTTGGGGAAAATGCCAACATGAGGTGAGAAAAGATTATCATCATTTGTTTCCTCTATAGCTTGCTATTGGTGTAATCCAACAATAACAACAATAAGTTCACTCAGTATTACCATTTCTACACATGGTGTTACCGATTTCGGGGATGGAAGCCTGACCTTATTAAGGCTAATGAACTATCATTCATGACGCTTTTCTTTTCCCCCGACCTGCGATTTTAAAACGGCGCATTTTGCGAGTAGCTAATTTGACCTGATTTCGGCAAGAAAAAGCGAAAACCTGACGGACTACGCAAATACAAATTACTATGGTAACTTTTGCGTACTAAAAATTAATTTAAATTTGCTGAATTTGCAGAACACTTACAAACTGATCACAAACTTTAGTTACCGCGAATAATCTCAGCGTTAAGGTACATCACATAACCCTAATTTTATGTACTTTATTTATCCAAAACTTAGTGCCAACAAATTACTTTCACTTAAATTCCGGAAAGGATATGAAAGCGGAAAGAAGAAAAGCAAATCAAAGCAAAATTAAAGAAATGAATCCCATGACGCTTGTCCACTGAATAACGTAAAAAAACAGTTGATAATCTGTTGAAACCCGCTTTCTGGTGCCTTTCTGATACATTCAGTTGGGTATACTGTATGTCAGTTTATACTCAACCAATGCAGCGTTCATTAACCTGGGCCAGTTGTTCGAAGGCTGCTTATCGCTGATTAACCTGGGTTTCTTTTTCTTTTTCTTGTATTTAACAGCATTGGCTCAGATAATTTTTTCAATTCTTTTTAGCGTATCCAATCATCAAATTGTAGACGAAAGGAAATAAACTGAATTTTGTTTTTCAACGTCAAAAAGAAATTTAATAATAGGTTTTTCTGAACTTGGATATGGTCCCTCGAAATAATTCAACTCCAGGAGGGTTCGTCGACATTTGACAAAATATAGTGGGAAGGTATAATCGCGATAAGAACTGAAAGAACCAAATTCAGCAGGCTGGCTTTAGGGCAGCAGTTATAAGCGTAAGCAAATGCGCCATATTCTTAACTTTTTTTTAAACGGAGTAACCTGGTCAAAGTTAATTTATTCGTCGATGGTGCTGGAAGGCGGTTCGAAGCAAACGGTTGCTGGCAGTGGTTTCTCTCCCTTCGTAGCTTAGCGTCCGGCCTGGGGAAATTCAAAAATCACAGTTTGCAGGGTAGCCGATGGATCAACACCCTCAATTCTTTACATGATACGAAAGTTGGACCAAATAATTGTTTTATTATTTATTCAAAATTTTTCCAAAAATAAACACATTTGCCAGTGCTTCAGGATTTTCAGGACATGTTAATTCTAGCGGTTGTTCTTTTTATAAACTTGTTGCTTGGAAACTTGGGTCAAGTTTGTTTTTATTTAAGTGAGTTGTGAGACTATTATGTATCAAATTAATCGACAAATCATACATCGAAATTACCGGAGCAGAAACACGTGACCTCAGGAGTGACGAAGTGCGACTTTTTGCATGTTAGACGGGAACTTGAGTACATAAATGGTGCATATAATGTTCGCTAATGTTAGATAAGAAGCGACTTAGGTTAGACACGAACCCTTAGCTCTTGTAACACTTTTCTAATGCTATGTTTACACTATGCCTGCTAGCTTTTGCGCCGCCGCATGGAAACCACAGCAGATAGGGCTGAACAGATAAGTCTTATGTTCACACAGAAGAACACGGTGATTCCCGCCTGATTTCTGTTACGGAGCGAAGCTGCGGCCCGCCGATCTCTAAGGAGGGTCATAAATCAGATTATAGATTTTCATGCTATAGCTTTTCGTGTCGGCTCGAAAAGGTATCCGGCATAGTCTAGTGTGATTATACCCTAAGTCGCGTCTTAATTCACGTTTAATTTATTAATGCCATTTTACGTCACCCTCGTGACGTCTTACATAAGACGAGTCTTACGTAAGAAGCGTCTTATGTAAGTCGCACACATCTTTTGCCATGAAGTTAAGTTATCAGATTCATCAGAAATCTGCGGCTTTTGAAACCCACACCTGCTATTGTTTCAGCGCTAGGGACACTGCTAGCAGGGTTATTTATTTGTTGTTTCGTTATCTAATAAAACAACTCATTCTAAGCGGAGCTTTGAAGCACCTATTTTTTATCGTATCAACGACACTATTGTTTAGCAGTTTATATACACTCTTCGAAAAAAACTTTAATTACTGGTTGTTGTAATAATAACATAATTTAATACACCGCTTTAACAGTGTTATTGTACGATAATCGTTTTAATTATATATATACCTGCAGTAGTTGAGCAGGTGAGTTAAATGTAGTTCTCACTGAGTCGTTTACGAAAAGTTACTGAAGTGTGGTATTTTAGGCATATTTAGCTTGTTTTCGCTTTCACTCTGCAGCATAAGAATTAAAAGACCTTGCAAAGGCTCGTGACTGTATTTTCTGGAACTAAAGTACACCCGGCAAAGAAAAACTACGATATTTTTTATTTTTTATAGTAACTCTTTTACGAGTTACTTTAACAACTTGTATGAGTAACTTCTTTTAGAAACTGTCCCACTCTGACAATAATCGATTAAAACTGCGGCACGTGCACTGAGATCTAAAACCCCTCAGGCTATCAGTTATGTTCTACACTGATACTCCCTTCATCGGTTTCTGCAATTAAAGAAGGAAATTTCATAAACTCACAACTGTTAACCATTTTTTAGTCTAGAAATTTTCAGAACGTTTTTGAGAAAGATGATCTGAAGGGAGGAAGAATAAACTATGTCTTACATAAGACTGTGGCGTCTTCACGAATTTGCTGAAAAGGAGGAACAGGTGTTAAATATGAACCGATTATTACCTTTAACCTGTGCTTCTCTGAATTTTGCATCCTGTAAATATACTGCTTTGTTTTCTTTAGCAACTCCTTTGTGACTTTTCAGTTTGATCAAATACAGCACATTTTGTTTCTCAAATGTGTACCAGCAAACCTTTATTTCGTAAATCAAAATGGAATCACTCTATACAAATACTAATTAGTAAGCAAGCGTATAAACAACGCTCGATCTTTTTTCAGTCATAAAAGCATTTTTCTTTTAAATAACAGCTAAGTAAAATTTTAAGAATTAAGAGTTCTTGCATTTCTTCGTACACTACACGAATTATTAACCACACAGCTTTCATTTAGTACTGAGAAATCTGCAGCCGATGAAGACAGCTTAACTGTTATTAACTCTGTCTTTTAATGCATGGACGTGTCCTTTAGCACTTCACCTCCACTTATCTTGCGGCTTGAGTGTATCTCAGTCACGGCTTTCCACTTTCATTGATTTTGCGTCCGGTGATTTCAGCGTCGAAAGACCAATCAAAATCACCGTATGCTTCATCAAAACACAAAAATATTCACTACATCGTCAACCAAACGTACTTTAGGAGATGGTGACTTAATGTCTTTCGTAGGACTTGATTTAAGCAGGACAGGTGCAGAGCCTCGCCTTATTGCTGGTTGCCTAAAAAATGTCTTTTCCTCCTTAAGTAGTGATAAAGCAGGAGCGCTACCTCTTCTTCTTTCGAAATCCGTTTTCTGTCTCATTTTCTTCTCAGTGTTCTTTTCAATGTCCCTGAGATTTTTAAAGATCTCACTAAAGGCCTCTTTCATGGCTTCTTCGTAGCAAAGACTTTTGTTGTGTTTGCTTTTCATCCCCTAATAGTCCACTTAGCCGGATGGTTGTTACAACAGAAGACTGCGAAACCTTCTGAACTGCAACAGCTGCAAGTTTTCTTAATTCTGAACATTTGAGCCAAATTTTTCCTATATAAATATAAGGTGCATCCAACCGGATTATAGGCGGTCAAAAGTTTTGTATCCAATCACATTCCAGACAACTCGTTGACAAAGTCACGGCTCGTGGTTCTTTAGAAATGAAAAGTTTGCTGACTCACGAGTCTCTGGGATGCACGTGACGGAGGTTGACTCTCTTGTGATATGTATTGTTAGGCCCGCGTCAAACGTTGAACTTTATAGTGCTAATGAACGCGAACAATAAATTTTGCTCATTAGCATTACCTTTGTCACATGTGAAGCTCGAAGTTTCACCCGGGTTTAATTTAGCGTGCGCTAGCTTGGTCGTAGTCCTGAATAGGAATGCGCAGAACTTTGTGACAAATCGTTCAACTGAAACTGATTTTTGGACTATTAGAATGCTACATTCATCATATTGATTACTTATGTCAGGCAGTTCTGGATTTTACTATGCAACGAAAGCCAAAACAAGTGATTTTTAGGGTCAGTTATTTAAACGAGGTTTAACTTAGGCCGGGGTTTAAGAAATCTTTGGACTTCCAGATCTCTTGCTTTTAGTGTGTTTACCGAAGTAGCGGCTCTCTAGTCGGGGCTATATGCTTTCATGAAACTTCTCTCTATAAACGGTGTTTAGATAAAAGCGTTGGGCAAAATGAAAATGCCTAAGAAAGCGGTTTTGTTAAACACTGGCTAAACTCCGTTTAAATAACCGTCCTTAGTAAAGTTTATGCCGTAGGCGTAATCCCAGGAATACGGTTAATCGAACGCGCCCAAAGTTATTGCATTGGAGTTAGTGTTAATGACTTGCAAAGATTCAAGATTTTGGAACAGGAATACGCATAAAGCAAATCGAATTCAATAAGGAACTCAGCAAGCGATCTCTCGTAGACCCAAGAAAATTTTAAGCGGTCTTTTTCTCTTTTGACTCTGCGTTGCTTGTCTTGTGACGTTTGATAAGCAAAATTGCCCACCAGATAGTTTTATTTGCTATTTAATATGTTAACTTGTCCATTTTTAACTGAGCAAAGACAATGCAGAATCATCTTTCTAGAACGTCAAGTTCATTGAGCCGTATGCTGATGTGGACAAGGTTTGCCTAAATCTTTGCCAGGCTTACAAAATTTGAATTCAGGTTTTGACTATCAAAAATCTTGATTTCACGAGTTCTGCTTTCTAGAATCTTGAACTCAGGAAGCTTGTTCTAACTCCACGACATATTAATATAAATTGAACGCTATAAAAATTAAGTTCAATATTTTCCATGTTATCCTTTAAACTAGTAGCGCATTATATTATCTTGTTTCTTTATACATTTTTTTTTTCAATTATGCCCACATTTAATTAACTTGCACTTCCTTGTTGCTGTTATTCTGCAGTGATTTTGCTTGGCTGCCGGGTCCAGCTCCTGATAGAGTTTAGTTTAGTACTATGTCGAACGGAGAATTTAGACAATTAAAACTGCAATATTTTAGCAGTTCAGCCGAAGCCTTAATTTTCCCTTCCCCTAGAGCGTATGAGAATTTGTATTTGTATTTGCATTTTATTTTCTCCAGTTTAGTTTATAATTACATCTGTTAACAAAAATGTTAATAATTAAAGGAATATGTCACTGAAGAGGAGAGGGGCCCATTAATTAAGATGAATTAATATTATGCATATGTCCCTTGATAATGTTATTGAGATTAAGGAAGAAGACTACGTAGAATAAATGTAGTAAAAGTAAAATCCTTATATAGGAAAGCGGAACATAGTGTATGTTTGAGCGACGTTTGTTGCTCAAACTTGTAGAAAGTTATCTGAATCCGGGAATATGAAGATATAAACTCATAGACTTGAATCCTAAATATACCGAGACATTGAAAATGTGATGATTGTAAATCTATCTTATACGTCATATAAAATGTAGTGAACATTAAAATAAGCATATTAAGTTAATTTGATTATTCAGTCTCAGACAGTCTTAGAGTCAGTTTTCACAGCTAATTGTGTTTAAGTCCCTTTCAATTCTTTAGAATCTACTAAATGTAGAAAGAAATGTAAATTAGGATGGCCGTAGTTTATAAATTCTATTAATTAAAAACAAAAAGGTTCAGAGCAATATTGTTTTTTTTGTTTGGTATGTAAGAAATAGGGTTCAGTGTTGAGTCTAGAGGCCCGCGTCACAAACAAAATCCTGCCAAAATAGTTTGACTTAAACACTGCATGAGTTGATAAGCGTTTCTTTGCGTTGTCTTAAACTTCCCGGTAAGTGTTATTTTGCAATACAAGGCTTAAATAATGTAAGTCTCGAGTTTTACCTTGCATCTTGAACAAGCCGAGCAGGGCCAAGACTCTTTACATTTTCTATTTTAACTGGTACTCGGTGCTAATTCATGCGGAGTTGTGATTATGGCGAGCTCATGCGGTACTGTGGGCGTTGTTTGCGTAGACAATTCAGCTCTCTAATTTCCGCGAACTTGGCCTGGTTGGTACAGTGGTAGACAAATTTCTCTCTTGGTCATGTGTTCTATGAACTGACGTTTCGCTGACAACTGCAGAAGGAGTACCTGTTCTTTTCTCAAAATCTTGTTTTTGTCTCAATTTCTTTTGTTTTTCGTTTTCAATCTCTTTAAGGTTCTCGAAGATTACTTGAAAAGCCTCGTTCATGGCCTCATCGAAACTTACTCTTTTCGGCTTTTTGCTTACCATTGCGTCGGTTCCCTTCACTGAATTCAAGGAAGTCAACGCTGTTCACCCTTTTGGCTCAACTGAGCAATGCATGGCTCTACCCGTTAATATCGTTTCATCGAAACATGTTTAAACATGACCATTACAGTCGAGTTATAGGCGTAGTAATTATGTTTTGGAGATTAATCAATTATATTGCAGGCTGCTTACTCTGCTCATTTGCAAAGTAATTGCCGGCGGTTTATGGATCTGTAAGCGCAAATTACATAGTGCTGATGGCTAACTTAAGTGACTGAGTAACTCATCAGTTCAGTACACATACAGCTAGATTCTGTCGCCTTTGTGGTGAACAAGAGCTTGAAACCATTGCATATAGAGGCCAGAGGATTAAACGATTTTCCTATTTAAACTTTACACATCTATTTCCCAAACTGACTAAAGAAATGAAACTTCGAGTAAACAAACGGCGAAAAAAGAAACAAAACGAAACGGTTAGTCGTTGGATTCAGTGTAGGTTTGTAGTACATAACTACAATGCAACTTTTTAAGCTTGAATAAGAAGCAATCAATGCTTGTGATATCGATGATGGTGACTAAGCGTTTTTTTTTGCTTTTAGTTCAGTTATTTATGTCTTTAAATAGAAAAAAAAGTTTCTATTGAATGCATGGCTGCCGTACCCAATCGCCGTTGACGTCAAAGCCCACCCTTTGTTAACTCTGTGCAAGAGAGAATCTGTGTTTAAAAAATTTTTAACATGTTTTTAACTGAAGAACAAATAGACTGTGAGATAAACACCTTATTTCAGGTCAGTCTTTAACGGTAATTAAAATTTTTTTCCTAGCAGAATAAACAATTATTTTTACACCAGTTTTTCGTTTTGCCTCAGGGCTTGTTACTATCAATAGACAAGCTGACTGTATGAGATTACACAGAATTATTTGTCAAAATGGTTAGATACTATAATTATACCTTAAGGCTACTGAACTATAAGTCGTGGTTTTCTTCTTCCTGCGATTTTGAAAACATCGTATTTTGCGAGTATCTAATTTGACCTGATTTTGCAAAGTTTGGGCAAAAAATGCGAAAACCGACTTACTATGGCAACTTTGGCGTACTTAAAATTAATTGCAATTTACTGAATTTGCTGAACACTTAATTACAACTGAACTGATCACAAACTCAGGTAGTTGCCGCAAATAATATCAGCCTTGAGGTACATCATCCGATCCAATTTTTATATATTTATCCAATTAAAACTTAGTACCCACATATTACTTTCACTTTTCGGAAAGGTTATGAAAGAAGAAAGAAGAAAAGCAAATGAAAACAAATGAAATTAAGCAAAAGTAATGAGTACCAATGACGCTTGTCCATGGGATTACTTAAATAAGTTAATAAATCTGTTGAAGTCTTTCTGGTACACTCAGGTGGGTATACTATACTATCAATTTATACATATTCCAATGCGGTGTTTATTAACCTGGACCAGTTGTTCAAGGGCCGCTTAGCGCTATAAACCCGGGTTTGTTTTTCTTGTATCTAACAGGTCGGCCTTTGGCCAACACCGAAAACTCCCGCCGCACGCGAGAAAAACCTCTGGTACCCAGGATACATTTCCTCGGATAATTTTTTTCAATCCTTTTAGCGTATCCAATTATCAAATTGTAGACAACAGGAAATGAACTGAACTTGCTTTTTCAGCTTTTACAGTGTGAATTCAAATTTTGCACTAACCCTAGGCCTAGGTTGATAAAGCCAGCTTTGAACAACCCGGCCCTGGCCGTGAATTTTTTTTAGGTCAACGCATTTGTTTATATATAGTTTTATGGACAATGCAAATCATTCTGTTTACAAATCTACTAGCTACTGATAGACTTAGCAAAACCACAATTGAACAAAGCATGTTCGGCATTTAGACAGATTACCGCTAGTAGATGTTATTCAAGATAAACCATATTGTCTTTTCTTTTAATAGTCTAGACTCAATCAGATATCAGATTTAAGGCAATCAGTGGAAGGAACTTTAGCTAGACCCACCTGATAGTAGGGCTTATCTAAAGTAACGTGGTTTTGCTAACTTAGTCTAAACTCTGTTTCAAAAACCGATGCCTAGAGCTAGGGTTTCATGTGGTGACGCCCTTCGGAATAAGTAGAAACTGTAATACGAAGAAACCGCTTAGTTTCTGCCGCTTAGTAAAAAGACCATGAGCGATTTCAAAAGTAATCTCCA